GAAACATAATTCTGAACTCAAAGCCAATTTATTTCTTTTAACATAGTTGCAATACTCATCCTTCTGTCCTTTATTAATAGAATATAAATAGGCGAAGTAAGAAGCCCAAATATTTTACATGAGCATGAGATAAAAAGGCCAATTATTATTGAATAAATTGCTCGATTGCTCGAACAAGTTTTTAAACCCTAATCAAAAGGCGGCATAGAATGGTTTTAAAAATGAAGGCTTGTGAAAATCATCACATGGTTTAACCGAAGTAATGACAATGCTTCACAAACCAAAAAATTCAACGTCCTTATATCGTACTATCGGCTTTCGGTATTTTGTTCCAAGTTAAATCATTTCTCGTTTTTGTTACGCTACGAGTTTACCCTTGTGGGCCTCAGTCTCGATAAGGTGTGAACCACAATTTTGGCGTCTCTCGAATTATTATAGATAAATACTATTAAAACCAGTTGTGAAGTTTGAAACGAATAAATTGGTAATGAAATTAAAATTTTTGTATTTGATTGTATGTTACTCTTTCCACTTCCTAAAAAAAGATTCCTCATTAAATAAGAAATAGTAAACAGTTTATAAAAATAACCTTTATTTGCTACTTATAACATGTACCAATAACCAAGTCCGGTTCTGTTTATTTTCAAATAAAAAAATATGGCCGTCGATAGAATCTTTAAAAATTAAATAACTCACCGAAATAAATGTAAGTTATCACACTTTGCACTTTTATTATAAATAAAGCTTTTTACAACACATTTTGGCATTTTTAACGTCAATTTCCAAAATTGAAGTCACTAAAATACCAAATTAATTCTCGTTGACACATTAAATTTGGACAAACAACGCTCTGACATGTGGTGACCTCAACTGTGATTGGTGGATGTGAATAATTTCGAAGTGGGATTATGCGCAGTGTCTTATGTTCCATCTAAGGTTTGTATAATCTAAGGGTACAACAAATAATGACTTACTATTTTGGGTTTATTTATTTTTAATCTTTATAATTGTATAAAGTTACTTTCTTAAAGAGCAAATTGAAAAAAATTTAACACATCCAATTTCCGGCATATTTTACCATACTATATCTCTCAAACTTAGCTTATAAAGGGTACATACCATATCATTTTTTTTTATTAACGAGAACTCTCAGTTGTAGAGCATCCAATATGGCAACATTTTAATAACCCTCTAATAACAAAAATTTATTTCGAAATATCGTAATATGTATATTACACATACATAAAAGGCTACATTGAATTTAATTCATTTACTTTTAAAAATAGTTTTAATGCTTTTATACATTTTTATTCATCTTTTACAAAAAAAAAGAAACCTAATTATTTGAATATAGTGCACTCATTTATAATATACAAAACAGTCACATTCCGAAATAACATTATAACTACCCAACAGGAATATTTATACAAAAAAGGCCTTTGCGTGCCGCCATAAATCTTTTTCACAAAGAACTGTGGGGTCAGTGATGAAGTTAAAATCCGGAAATGAACAGAGAACTGCGGCAAACGCGGTTCATTTTTTTTATCTCTTAAGCTTACAACTCATGCACAAAAAAGTAACAACGAAGTTAACATTTTATTATTTGGAGAAGATTAAAAGCGACTCTGTACATTTTGAAGCGAAGGGTGTTTTAATTATTGCCCCTTAGGTCACCGTTATAATTACTAGAGAAAATTAGATGGAGTTAATTTAACTTTTTAAATTAAAATCAATATTATTTTTTTATAATTTATTTTAAAACCTCGGGAATATTAACATCAAACGAATTTATGTTTTATTTCATTGACTTAGGGAAATAAACCCGTAATTATAATTATTAAAGATATTTAAAAAAATCACATAATGCTAGACACATAGGTATACAGGGTGATTCATAAGTACTTTGACAAAATTCAGGAAATTATTCTTTGAGTAATTTTAAGGTAAAAAGTTTATATAAATATGTGTCCGGAAATGGATGGTTTTCAAAATACAGGGTGGTAAAGTTTTAAGAAAAAAATCGTTTTTTTATCATATCTATCATACCACTAAAGATAATTTAATGAAATTTGGTACACGTTGTTTTACCATAAAATGACATTTTCTGATGCTATTAACTTTTTTTTATTTTTATCAGTGGAGTCCCTACGGTATTTAAACTAAATATTATTAAAGTAAAAAATGGTACGCCACTGGTTTTTTAAAAAACAAAAATTACTTTTAAAATCTAAATTAAATTTTGAACAAATTTGATCTCCTGACTTTTGTTCGTAAGACGCACCCTTTTCGCGTGAAAAAAATTGTACAATGTCGGTAGAAATGCAAATCAATATCCGGAGGGTGCAAAATCAATAGTTTTTAAAAACATATGCAATATGTAAGAAATATCAACATTTTATTTCAAGAAATTTTAAATAAAATAAAATTAAATTAAACGAAATTAAACTGTATTCAAATAAATTGTTGAAAGTGTCCACCTTTAGCGAAGATACAGGCATTCAATCTTCTAGTCATTGAATCTCGTACTCGCTCAAAAATTATTGGTGTGTTTTTTATTCTTTCACAGGCGTCTATTATTCGGTTTTTTAGTGCTTCCTCGTTTGCTACTGGAGTTTTATAACCTAATGACTTCGTATGTCCGCAAAAATAAAAATCTAACGGGTTTAGATCTGGGGACCTTGGTGCCCACGCCTGGTTAGGTTCTTCTACACCCCTACCGATCCATCGATTTGGATAGACAGTGTTAAGGAATTCCCTGGCTACAACGCTGAAATGGGCCGGAGCCCCATCATGCATAAACCACATGCGGATACGATTTTCTAAAGGTACACTCTGAAGTAATCCTGACAATTCGTTTTCTAGAAAGTGTCTGTAAGTTTCTCCATCCAGTCGGAGCGGAAGAAAGAAAGGGCCTATCAAATAATAATCATCAATTATTCCCGCCCATACATTTACAGAAATTTGATACTGAGAATGCCTTTCACTAATTGAAATAGATTAAATAAATTATTTTCAGCAACTGAATTTTAGATTTATGCAATTTTGTCCCAGTGTTTACCTTTATTAATTTCAAAGATTTTATCACTTTACCAATAGTAATTTTAGCTTCAATTTGACACCCAATTCATTATATTTTAAAACCTGTTTCCACCTCAATTCTTAGCCAAATTGAGAGTTAACTTTAACACGCTTATACTCTTTCACAGTTGACAACTTGATACTTGACAGACGTAGCCAAGCATTATTCTGATTTTTACCAAATAAAATGACCAGGTAATTATTCTATGGTTGTTGTGATAAAGAGCCAGTAAATTTGATATGAGGGTGTCACTGTGGCTGGGTGTGATAAACTAACTCCTTGTTTATCGAAAAAAATTATTTAAAACTCATTTTATATAAAATCTCAATTTATTCGCATACTTTATGCATGCCAACTCAATACATTCTGGTTTCTACATTCTATCTATCCTTTTTGATATATCAGCGCACAACGTACATCATGTGACAACCGGGTTATTGCTGAGTAGACAGTCCTTAAAGTCAATAACACTAGAGTTGAATTATTTAATTGTCGATGCACTAATACAGGAAATTATGAAATATACTTATAACTATTCAACTATAAAATATGTAAAATAATAAATATCATTACATGGGGATGAAAAAGTAGTAAGCTTAAGTTAGCAATACCAAAATAAAGTCATTTTTAAGAAACTTCTTATATATTTTTCATAAAATGGCAGGCTTGAAAATTACTATTTGGAATAAAACTAGCCTCCAAAATAGCTATAGTTGCAACTATGAAGGTACAATCCCCCTTAGAAATCTCACCTTAACAATCAACAGCTGTTGTTTGACAGGTCGTTGAAGTGCCTAATATTGGAATGTTTAGCATGTGTAAAATAAAAGACGTTGGGAATGATTGGAATGCGTAAAATAAGTCACATAAAAAATGCATGCGCGGATTTTAAGGACATTAATATTAAAGTAGTAAAGATGGACTGAAAATTCTGAAAATCAATGGCATTCTAAGTTTGAAGCAATTATTCAAGAAAATCATAACCGTCAATCAGAACACTCTAGATAGTCGCAGCAATAAAGCAAAAAGTTCCTGGGTTTTTCCGGGCAAATCGGATCGGAATGCGGTTTTTTGCATTCGCTTGCAAAAATTATTTGTATCATTCCCCCGCAATTTCCAGGTCATACAAACCTGAAATTGCATTGCTGCAGCCAAAAATGCATTCAAAAAATGCATTATTTGAGAGGCCTCTTGGATGATTTCAAAAATTGTTAAATAAGTGTCAGAACTAGCCCAGATCGGGTGCTCGGGAGTATTTAAGGTCGCTGATCACGATTATGATGTCTAAATTGACCTACAGCCGACCTGGAGCTCAGGAACGTCGACGAACGTCATCTTCGTGGGACTCTCCCAAAATTCACGCAGGGAAGGAGGGCAACTAGGCGATCGGGGTTTTTATGGGTCGCTGAATCCAAATATGGCATTGGCGAATACCCCCCAAACACCTGGTGCGCCCAAACCTCGACCTGGACCTCATCTCCGAGAATTTTCCTCACAATATCGATAAGAACAACCCGAAAATGATTGAGCGGAGTTTTTTAGGGCGCTGAATCTAAATTTCACGTCGAAAACGACCCCCTGAACATCTGGTGCACCGGAACTTGGCCCTGAACGTCATCCCCGAGAGGTTTCCAGACCCAATTGAAAAAGATGAACTGAAAATCGTTAAAGGGGGGGGGGGTTTTGGGTCGCTGAATTCAAATAGGGCATCGCCGAACACCGCATGGACACCTGGTGCATCTGAACCTAGACCTGGACGTCATCTCCGAGGCGTCAATACTGCAATAGCTGCGTGCAATTGTTGATTCTAGATTATGTGAGGAGAAAAGAAAGAGAATGAATAGAAACGCAATATTTATGTAATTTACGGTAAAACAATTTTTATTGGCCTCAAATCGAATACAGTGAACCTGTAAGTTTGTCATTCCTTAATTAAATAATAACTCAAATGTGTCTGATCATTTTCTTCGTCATCGATTAATGTATTCATACGGGGAACATCTCCCTCATCTGAGGCCTTTGTCTCTGGCACATTAACGTTTTCATCTGAATATCTTTCACTGTTAAGGCAAGTTAAACCTTCACAAACTTTACAGGCAAGATTGCAAGGTAGGCCGTGCTTCCTGCAACTACAGGTGTTCAGATTACAATCTCCTTTGCATCCACAGAATATTAGTTCCATAATATTCTTGGGCGCAGGTATTTCTTCCATGTGTACAGGCACTAGTGTGTCGCCTTCCATTCTCCACTCCCATTTTGTTGGGTCCATGGTCAGCTGGTCTCCATGCAGCCATTGTTGTACTTGAAAATAGACCCTCTTTAGATGTTGTTGAATAGCGTCTACTGTAGGGAGAATTTTGGCCAAATTTACTCTCCCCGTCGCAGCGGTTCTCCTGTACATTTCGCACCTGTACGATTGGAGTAACTGGTCCCATTTTAGCTTGTCAGGAATATTTGGTTTCCTGAATGACATTGGAGCACTGTACATTGCCAGAATTAGCTGCGCCCCGTTCTCAAAAATTGTTTCGCTGGACAATCCAGAATGGATGAACCTTTTCTAGGGCCCCAGGGGAGAGTTACACATGAATGAATGTATAAAATTATGTTTTGGGGAGTTTTTTTGTGATCGCGACTGTAAAACTCTCGGAGATTCTTATTCAGCCCCTTCACGATTTTCGGTTCGTCTTTTTCGATTGTGTCAGGGAAATTATCGGCGGTTCCTCAATAAGTGCACATGTACACGTGCACCCCGAAATTTAATGCCTCCTCTTGAAAAAAAACTAGTTAAATCCTGTGATTCTGTCCTGTCATTATTTTAATAATTAGTTTTATTTAAAAAACGATCAATTATTTCGTAAACAAAACTCAAAATCGCAAGACGCTATGCGTAACGTGAGAAATCCAGCCGAGAAAAAAAAAATACAGCCGTTCGCTTTGCCCGGCGCCTGTCGCGATATCTTCGTACACTGCACATCGGAATATTCGATCTGATTGGTCAATCTTCTCCCTCCCTCACCGCGGCAGTCTAGTGTGACGTTCGATGTTTATACTGGCCCGCGTGCACATGAAATAACTGCACTGCTTGCGTGGGGAGCGTAATAATCGGTGTCGCTGTCGAAACGGGAATTTTGATAAAATGACGGACATTAGCGTGCAATATTTAAAGACAATTAATTTTTCTTCCCTTCCTTTAGAAGAAAAAATAAAAATTAAAAGTGTTGGGCGTCCGAAACCAAGTGTATTAATTACGAATGTAACTAAATGCAAAAGTCGTGAATATAAACGTACTTTTAAAACAGATACTTATGCAAAAAATGACTGCTTGTGCGGGTGTGATGTGAGTAACAGTCTTTACTGCTTTCCATGTTTATTATTTGGAAGCGACGAGGCATCAGAATGGACAAAATTTGGCGTTAGAGATTTAATACATTTTTCCGAAAAAATTAAAAAACATCAAAATTCAAAGTCACATTTATCTGCTAAATTAGGATATAATTTATTAGGTAAACAAGATATTCGACAACAATTAAATAGGGCATATCGATCAAGCATTCAAAAATATAATAATAATAAGCTAATAATAATAATAATAATAATAATAAGCTTTATTGTCTAACAGAATTATATCCATTAATAAGACAATTCAGATAAGAATAGTAAGAAAATATACAAAGTAATTAAAAAAAATATTAGTTTACAAATAAATGAACATTTGATAGGATACAGGATACAGCCCGCCAAGTTTATTATTGATTAAATAAGATATTTTTGACTGACTTACTAAAACTACATAAAGTTTGATTGAATATATCAATATGTGGACTAATTTTGTTTAGTTCCCTGCACATGATATGCAAAGGCGATTTTAGCATGATATTAGTACTTACTGAGGGTAGGTAGAACAGATTTTTGGATCTGGTATTTAAGGGAACATAAAAATTTAGTTGGTATAATAAATCAGAACAATCAATCATACCATTAACCAACTTGTACAAAAAAATTAGAGAT